TGCATTCGGCATTTGCTATAAGATTCCCTTGGGTCATCTGCCTTGGCCAAGCATTTTATTTGATTATTAAATTAGATTTTTGTGTTGAGACTGCGGTTCCCATTTCGTGACTTCTTTCCTTATCTGGCAATTCCTTTATGTCGTTCTCTTTGCACTTTGCTGTTTGCCGTGCGGTTCATTAAATATTTCTACGCAATTTTGAGCTTGTTATTCTTGCACTTCGTGGCTGGAAACATCAAAAAGCGCGTGAAAAGTTTGGCTCAACAGCGGAAAATATATTGCTTGAAAATTGCACTCAACTTATATTTTTTTCCAGATATTTTTCATGTGCTTTTGCTTTTATTTCTTTTTCAGTTTTTTCTCCCGTTGCTTTGACAATTGTTTTGCGCTAACGAAGTCGCTTTGTTTTCCGCTGTTGTTGTTGCTGTGTTTTTTCTCTCACTCTCTCTGTCTCTCTCTCTCTGTCTCTTACTCGTTTTGTTACAACTTTTCAATTGTTTGGCTTCTGTCATTACCTTTGACACGGCTTTGGCAACTTGCTGTTGCCTTTTGACTGTCGCCGTCTTTTGTCTTTCGCGCTTTTGTGGGCCCCGAGCCCTTTGATCTGCCGCTGCCACAGCCACGACCACTGCGTGTTGCATTTCTATTAATTGTGCTGATGGTTTGCGATATGATGATGTGCTATGCGATGAGTGCTGCAAGCTGCAACAATAGCGGCTTTGCCATGCCCCCTCCTTCCTATTAAAACGAGAGTGCAAAGAATTTGTTTGCCTGCAGCAAACAATTTGCTCTTAAATTTTATTGTGAACGCGAAGTGATAGAATGAGAATCAATCAGATTCATGTTTGAGCAGACATAAAAAAGAAATTATTTTTTATTTAAATTATTTTTTAATATTTTAAAACTTTACATTTCATTTAAGAACATCTCAATTAACATTTGACATACATAACGATAGCTGCAACAGAGACACACACACACACACATGCCAAGCCAAAAGGAACATGCAACGCATGCAACTTGACCTTGACCCAAATGCTATGTAGCCCTATTCTTTGCTAACAAAGGATTGAGTTGCTCTGCTGCTCGACCCTAATTCAGGTTTGAGTGCATATGTGTAGAAACGTGCCACAAGTTGCAGTTGCAGTTGCAACATATGCAACAGTTGACAGCCCGACCTTGAGCTAATTTAGCGGCACTTGAGCTCAAGCAGCTGCCGTTGCATATGAAACGCTACCCGCCTAGGGTCTCCAATGTCCTTTGCTAAAGTTGAGTTTGCTTAGTTATCGCCGGCTTAAAGTTGCGCCCCAAAGAAGCTGAAACTGAAGAAGAAATTGCTTCCACTTAATAAAGCACACTAATGATGACCGCAGAACCAAATGAAATGCACTTGAGCACGTAGCAAGCAACATGAGACCACTTCAGCTTTCCGCTTTGTTTGCAGTATTTATATAATACTACTTATCAAAAAAAAAAAAAAAGAAAGAGGAAGAAAAATAAGCAAAAAGGTACTCTAATTTATTTTTAATAATGTCTTTCAAGCATTTGCGTCTGTAAATACGGCTTTCGTGTACTTTCAATTACGTGCCTGATGTTCAAGACTTTGATGCAGCTCGATTTATGGACATAGGCTCAATCTAGTTATCAACTAGATGGTATTTAATCAAATATTTGCTCAGCAGAAATATGAAATGGCAAGGAGGAGGAAATACTTGTATCTGTGGAGGAACAACATGTGATTACTATTGACACTTGAGTCTGTGTAATACACCCTACGTTATATGAAGAATGCGTTGAAAATAAATCGTATAACAATGTTCGTTGTAGTCGACTGCATGATACTCGCTCAAGGTTTACAAATATGTTGCCATAAATTTGCCATATCGAATTTTTTTCCTAGTCTAAATAATTTGACAATATATTTATTTTAATCTGTAGATATTGACTGTGGATTATAGCTAAAAATAATATTAAAAATTTTAGATGTAATGCATAATTATTATAAATTA